TTCCAGTTAAATTAAAAAATATCAAAAGTAAAAAGGTATGTCCAAACAAGTATGACTTAGGGTTCCTAGGCCGGCAACGCATCTACAGTTCTTCTGATGTTGGGTTCTATGGACTTAGGCGATTTGGTAACCGCAATGCTCGTTCATCCCCTTATTATATAAAAACATAGTCTTATCCGTAAAATATACAAGATTATCATTTAATCTATAGTACTATAATTCTTGTACATCGTGTACCCTTCTGGGAAGCCTTGCTTGCGTACGTGATTGTTTGTTCGTGCGCACGCGACCAACGATTATGCGACAAGAAACGTAAAATGTAAAACAATGGAAACGCGATCAACAAGACAAATGGAATCTACATAAGATTTCGATTAAATCTTACTAATATCTCACAATCTTACTAATATTATAAATACGAATGTTTGGATGGATATTTGTTTGGCATACATATAGAACATAGTGTTGAAGAACACAATAGGCTACATATTGAGGTTTTTTCAATCCCGCACAAACGGAGTCGCGAGCGAAAGCTAGTTGGTCATAACCGTGAAACACTAACGTGACATTTGTGCTGGACTATATGGTTGTCTCTATATTTTGAAAGAGAATGAGAGGGATATGAATATTATTTAGTACCAGTGCTTTGATAGTCGAAGGTTACAGTAGCAGCAACTTGTCTTTTAAAAACAAATGTGTATTTTGAATATAAGCGTTCCATTTTCAAATGTCAGTGATATACAGTCATAGACTATTGAAAGGTTTTAAAACATAATCGGTGAGTGGTGAACTGTAAGACTTTATCTTTAGTTTACTTTTCCTTTAAAAGGCTTGAAGCGAAATTCTATTTGAAATGGCCACTTGTAAAGTTCAATAACTATAAAACGTTGTAGAGAAAGAAAGCCTGTGTGGAAGATTTAATCACTTCACCTATCCTTAAATTTCTTGCTTGTTTCCTATTCGAAGTATGTATAGTCGGAGACAAAAGTTGTCTGTGACTCAATATTAATTATACTGTTATAATTTTTGAACCTCGGTTATATTCATGTGGCTAAAAAAAATATCTTACTAATATTATAAATGCGAATGTTTCGATGTATGGATAAATGGATGTTTATAAGAAGGTGTCTTCAGAACGGCTTCATGAAGTCGCGGGCGATAGCTATTATATTATTAAAAGAGTGGCACTTTCCAAATTATTTTTTGTTCGCTAGTTTAAAACTAAGCATTTATTAAATGTCTAAATGAGAGAAGCCATGGCGTGTTACTAGTTTGTATACTATACAGATATGATAACTAACTGCAATATTAAAATATGTCTTAACAACTTTCGTTCACGACTATACTGTTTACATTTTAGTAAACGGTGTCTAATGCAAGTTTTACGACATCTAGCTATACACTTTTGTTTTTACGTCTTGTCCGTCTGTCCGTCTCGCCTTAACTGAGTCGCTGTAAACTTTATGCCTTTGCTTTTTATTACTTGGTGGCGTATTAACGATCCCTTTCAAGCCGTAAAAGGTTTTCGTCTCAAGAACACGGATGAAATTTAAATTGGATTATAACTGTTGTTGCTCATCGATTGGAATCAATTAAAACAATCTATGTTAAAAGTTATCAAATGTTTTCTATATTTAAATTTTAATAAAATAATTTTTTTTTATTTAATGCCTTAATTGAAAAGGTTACAGTATCACAAATTTTTTTTATATTTTTATAAACTTATTTTTACACTCATGGTTATTAAATATTATGTTGCTTTTTATTGAGAGTCTCAAGATTGTTTAGACATCTAAATTGTATAGATTTATGACTAAGTAAACTATGTGTTTCAGATCGATAAAAACTTTTCTTGTCTACAACACAACAAAATGTCGAAGGTCAATATCATTTCCTGATCGAACTGGCAAACACAAAAAACAGAGACTTTTTATTCGTATTGTCAAAGATTGATTAAAAAAGGTTTTTCTCATTTGTTATTTTGTTTCTAAGTAAGTTTGAAGAAAAACTAGATATTGAAATAAACTAATTTTATAGATTTAATCATGTTTTATTGTATACATTTTGGGCATAGAACGCTGTAAAAGTTACCTGTGATATCACGCGAACATTTGTTTTTTTTTTTTAAATAAAATCATCATCTTATGTCCATACGATGAATGTATCATATTTAGGAAAACGTTAAATTAGTTATAAGTAAATATTATGATACATTTAATTAATATGTTTTTATTCTACAGATAATATTTAATAAACAAATTACGTTAATGTAAAAAGTAATTATGTTTAGTTGGAAAGTTGAATGTGTTCGTAAATAGTTGTCAACTAATGTATGATGATAAGATTTTGTTAAGCTTTCTCTCTTTTGTATTGTAATGAATGTTGGTAAAGGCATCCGCGATAAAATCATATTATCATGAAGCTATTTCTTAAAATAACAGTAAAAATTTATAGGTATGTAAATATGTAACATTCATTAAAAGAGAAAAATATTTTTAGGAAAAATATTAGTTAGTTTTAATTATGTATCACTGTAATTGTCCCCTTTAAATACAAGATAAATTATTCGTATGTATTTCCAAATAGTTTAGTTTAAGGAACTACTCGGTTTAAATAAATATATTTGTCATAAGGTTTACCTTTCTCCTTTGAAGTTAGACTGTTATAGGTACTAACAAAAGTTATATAGAAGAGGCCTACCATGAAAGTACATCTGACTCGGTGGCGATGAGCGCCTTCTTACAGACATCTACTTTTAATTAAGGCCATGAATAATATACAACTATTTCTCGTTTATCGGTGCGTTTTCTTTACCCCTAACATACTGTAAGCAATTCTTTTAAATGTTTTATTTAAAGTATTAATTACAGGAGTATTTAATACTTTAAATAAAACATTTAAAATAATTTTATTTGAGTATTATATGTCGTATTTTTTATAAATTTACAAAATAACTGCAGACTGTAAGCTAGATAAAAATGTAATACTTAATATTCGCTTTGCCTAATTCTTAATGCCATCTGTTGAACAATAGATGTAACAAAAATGTTCAGCGCCATCTAACGATGAGTAGAAAATACTTATCTGTCCTTTTTTTTGTCTTTAAATTCATAGATGGCATTATCTTTTAGTTTAACTTTTTACCGCTAGGTGGCACATATTAGATGACGGGACATATAAATAAAAATAAAACCATAGACAAAATAATCAATCAATAAATATTAAATAAAAACAAAAATTACTTCACAAGGAATAACGTTTGATTAAGCGTAATAAGGCAAAGAAGTTAATATTTTCAGATATGAAAGTCTCATAATTATCTTACGATTTTCATCATTACTTTTATATTAAAGTAACTTTAAATTGTAATATGCTTTAAAAACTGTTATTTTAATGTTCCTCTTAGTGATGACTATTTTGACTTTAAGAGTCGAAGCTGCGGTGTCCGAGTGGTTAAGGAGATGGACTTGAAATCCATTGGGTTCTACCCGCACAGGTTCGAATCCTGTCCGCAGCGGCTAAAATTTTTATCGGTTCAGTTCAGCACAAAAACACCTAAATTTCTTACTAACTTTAAAACTTTCGTCTTGACATTTGCTAACTCCAATTAATTCATATTTTAAACAATACAACTTTTGCAAAATTTAAAACAGCTGGAAAGTTATGAGAAACGAAATATTTTTAAGACAGACATGTCTACTTTATTGAACAAAAGGACAAAATTGTAATTTTTTAATTTCTATTTTAGTTGCGATTTTTTTAAAGACAAGAAAAATAACTCCTTCGAGCCGGATTTGAACCAGCGACCTATGGATGACAATTTTGCATAGCCTCTACAGTCCACCGCTCTACCAACTGAGCTATCGAAGGTTGTTGAAGCACAGTGAAATTAGTGTATTGAATGTGTAGTGTGTAGTGAATTAGTGTAGTGTGTACTTATATTTTTAAAACCCTTTATTCTGGAAAATTTAATTAATGGTATAATTTATACAGACCCAAATGACTTTGTTAAACCAATTTAAAAACCATTCACTACTCAACTATATGAAAATATGACAGATAATTTTATTTTAAAATTTCAGACAAAGGAATTTTGTAACTGTCTATTTTAAGCACCACATTTTAACCATCATAAATGAACGAAAATTAAATTTGGACCAAAGTTTAGGTTAAATATTCCATAGACTAAGAATTAAGCTTTAATTTTAAGATCTCTAAATATATTATTATAACAAAGACAAATATCGATAAATCAAGATAAATATGCAAATTGGTACACAGCTCTCATGAAATATTTAGAATATTTTACGTGTGCAAAGTTTATTTCTAGCCTATCTATTTCCACCAGCCGGTAGAGCCTAGAGACATCGGGGGCGCTGACCGGATATGCAAACACAGCCTCCCAAAATACATTTACTACTACTACAAAGAGATTTAAATGTTTCGTGTTGATGTTTATTTGTTTTCCATAGATATTAGATGTTTTTTTTTCTAGAAAATTGTTACTTTTTGTTTAGAAAGCTTAGCTAACAACGGTTGTTAAAAGTATTCAAAGGTCATTTCTTTCGTAACAAAGCTTCGTTGTTCGTTTACGTAATGTATTGAAATTGAATAATTAAAAGTTTTTCTAAGTTCCAATTTTTTATCTTGCGACCCGGCTTGCGATAAACAACTTGTGCAGATTGACGTCATCAGCGCTACAGCACAGCACAGCCACCGTACCGTACCCTATGCTATTGTCAAACACATATTTAATTACCAACGTGTGCAGTGCGGCACGCGCGAGTACCTTTCAAAACGAATTTATAACCTCAAATAAGTTTTGCTATTTGCGTCTTAAGACGCATCGTTATAGGTGCTAAATTTGTATGAACATAAGTTTATACTTGCGTCATTTATTAAAGCTTGAAGTGTTGTGAATTTCGGGCGATCCTGCGTCTTGTAGCGCATGCGCAAAGTTCACTCCGCGAGCGTGTGTTCGTCAAAGTGAGGCGGCGCGCCGACTAGCGCGCTCGCCCGCCATCAGGCCAGAGCTGCGCCGCTATTCACCAAATAACAGACATTAATGAAAAAGATGATATTCATTCGAGTGCTGACTAAAATTGTGTGACAGATCGACATGTCAATTTGTTTGTGTCTTTTATTTTGTATGTGATAACTCAACTGTCGTGTCTTCCTTTGTACGATTCGCGATCGCTTGTTTGAGGTGCACCGATTGTTTTGATGAGGTAAGTGCCTAATAAGTTTAAGGCCGGAGCTCGTCCTTGTGTGGTGGCGAACAACCACACGCCATCAGTCCCCGTGTGGCAAATTAATTCGCGTGACAATGTCGGCAAATCATTGCATTATTGTAACTACCTCACATTTCATAACAATCATAAGGTGCAGCGTTTTTAATGGCAAAATTGACAGAGGTTAATTAAACACGAATCATATTATATACGTAACACCTCGAAAAAATCTACCAAATTTTATTTTCTGTACTATTACGTATAGAAAGGAAAACGTTTTATACAAAAAATCCGTATTGAAACGATTATGCGTTTCTCAAATGATTTAGAATTCTTTTATCGTATAGGTACGAATATTTGATACAATCTACATAGCCCCAAGGGTTATTAACCCAATTGCATGATCAATCTCTTCAAAAGCTCAAGCACGAAGTTATACAAGTTAGAAAACTTTATTGTTGCACATCACTCTTTGTAACTTTTATCAAGTTGTTAAAATTGATTTTGCTGACACCGGGATTAGTTAATAGTTGTAAAAAAGGCAATGTTAAAAGCGAAAAATGTTTTATGTTATATTTTATCTCTATCAAATTCATGGGGTAAGATAGAGACAGCGATCGTCATAATGAGAAAGTGATGGGAATGTCGCAGTAACGAAAGGTTTGGATTAACCGTGGATTTCTCTTCCACCCCCGCCTATACAAAAACATATTGCTATTTCAGTTATGTCAAAGAAAAAGAAAGAGATGATAATATATTTTTAAACAGATGTTCCGGCAATGGTTACCTTATGTTTAACTTATACCGAGACGGGGGAGACATGGATTGAACCTGGACGTGTTGGTTTCGTTCCAATCCGGGCAAGCGCTTAAAGGCTGCTCCACAGATAGCCTCAATTTCCACCCACTGTGTGGTAAATAAAAAAAAAACAAAAGCGGTCAAAAAGGTGTTCTTTTAAAGTTTGACCGCTTAAACTTTAGTAGTAGGTTAAAGGTTGACGCGGTTTCATGACTAAATTAAGGTGGGTGTGGTGACCTTTTTGTATAGGTTTTACTTGTGTGTAGCAATTGTTTAAAAGTCGAGTGAAAAAAAAAAGATTATGTAATAATTTTTTTTCAGTATTTTATTATTGTTTATTCTATAAAGTTTTCAATTATATTAATAAATTAAGCTAATAATAGTATTAGCGTAATGGAAGGCGATAGACAACTGATTAGACGATCCCACGCAGAATTATTGGAAGATTCAATATAATATGGCATAGGTGAAATCAGGGGTCAAATTACAGCGCAGTCCAACCCCCTATTCACTGTCTAGCTTATCTACGTAAGCATTTCTTCATAATAATTACTTCAAATAAATTTCTAGTAACAATTTTCATGTGCTGATTCATGCAACATTTCAGATCTAAAAGGCTATTCTTTTGCCTTTAGATTCACCATATTATTGTTTCCATATAAAATCTACTCTAGATGAATTACTAAAAGTTTTCTACACCAATAAACGTTTCCACCAATACAAGTACTTTCCGATAAAGCTTTACCTCAGGTTTTATTTTCGCGAATTAAATTAAGCATTAATGTGTTTATACGTCATAAACAGAAATCATCAAAGAGGTTCTCTTGTTGGAATAACTTTTGGCCTTAACTCGACTGCGAATAACAAAGGTTATGAGAGTTGGAAACTGTTATTAAATGAAGACTTTACTAACAATAGAAATGTTCAGCTTACAAATGACTCCAGTTGTAATTAACCTTTCCGACTCAACGGAACATATTTACAGTGCACTGGAATTGTCAACAAAGTTTTTTTTTTAATAAAGTAGACAGATATAGCACATCATTATACCTCCACAGATATGCGCTTTCATATGCTAGATATCTGTTCTGTTCCCTGCGTAGTTTTTCTCACTAACATTGTGAGGAAACATAGATTAGTCTTTAAGTCAACCGGCACTATGCCATCTTATTTGAGTAAAACCTAGTCACCCCAGCTCCAGCCCTTCTATAGAGACGTATGTTGTCTGTTAACATAAGTTATTTTTCTAATTTGTTTTTATATGAAATGAATTATTTTTCAACATAACGTTTCACATCGTTTTACTTAACATGAGTGTAAAATAACAAAAGAATAATTGATGCGAGTTCGTGCTATTTGTTTTATAAATTCTATTTATTTACCGAAATACGAGGTTTTTAATTTCGGCCCGCTTCGCTTTGCCCGCTCGGTACTTACAGTACAATGTTTGTTTTGCAATGATTGTTTCGTTTGTAATATGAGCAATAAAGTAGGTGAATACTCTAAATGAAAGGTGGAATATACGAAAAGACTAGTCGAGGATTTTTATTTCCTTCCCATTTCATACATAAGTATTACATTTCAGCTGTAGTAGCAGTTTATGGTATTCGATTTTTAGCGGGGAGAGTTTTGAATTTTAGGCTGTACCATGTTTATATTCACGAACCGTTCACAATGGTACCTATGATTTTTTTTTTAATCTGGCTCAGAATAGAAAAGAATTCCTAGATTAAATTATAAAATTACATGTATAAGAAAATAAATTACTATTCCTTGAGGTTTACTTTATACTTCATCGCGTATGATTTGCATTAATTTACTTGAGTAGAGATAAATCTGGTGTTTTAGAAAGTGAAATCATGAATAATGAACGCAATATTACCATATATGAAGGCTGGATGGTTGGATATGAGATTTAATGCGACATCATGCTGCTAAAGAAAATTTACATATACCTCACCTGAAACCGTCCGAAAACCGTCATTTAACAAAGCATTTAATATCAGTATGGTTTATTTTATTAATATTATAAATGTGAATGTATGGATGTATTGATGGATGGATGTTTGTCAGAAAGTATCCCTAAAATGACTGCATGGATCTCGCCGAAATGTGGCATAGATGTAAAATATAGCCTGGTACGTACTACTTAAGTGTTTTTTTTAATATCACTCGGATTAAGTTGCAGGCAACAGCTAGTTAAGGATATATACGAAAACCCTCATTTAAAAGTTTACGAACAAAGTTAGTGTAAATAAAAAGTTGCTAGGAACAAAATAAATATTGCATGAGAAGTGTTATGTTATGTTGCGGTAACCAAACTTTGTTTCAATTACTTTACCTACACTTTATTCGTATATTTTGCGAAAAGTTACATGTAAAATAATTCTGTACATTTTTGAAAAATAAGTTTCAAAAAAACCAACAAATTTGCGCAATACGCCTCTCGAATGGTTTGCCTAAATTATTATTATTTTATGAACATTTTTCACTTTGATACTTACGAGTTTTAACATCTAAAATTAAAATATTTTGATAACATAATGAAACGAAATATATTGTATCGCTAAGAGATTGATCTAAGAAAAGTAAAGAATACAAATTAGTTGTGATTAGAAGTTGAGACGAGACGATTCAACGACAAATTGCTACTCGTATATCAGATAACTTTGTGGTTACGTTGATTGAGGCTATTTACGTGACTCCTTATAGGACCGCATTGCGCAGATGTTTGATATTTAAATAAATACATGCAACAAAAACTACAAACACCTAAACCTTTACGATCATATGAATACTGCAATTTTTCTGCCAGGCCTTAAAGGATATTTGATTATACATTAAAACGTTACTCATTTGTTTAACAAAAATACCTAAAAATTCACCATAAACAAAGTACTATCATGTATTAAGATTCAATAAGTATATTTTATGTCCTTGTTCGCCCTTGTACGTTTCTATAGCACCTTATTTAGCGCTCTTATTAAGCTCTCTACCATCTTTTGTTAACATGAAGAGAGACTGTTTTAAGATATACGGAGTACTCTAAAGACTGATTGATATTATATTGTGTCTTAGAAGTATAAAATGATATCACCTTTCCCAGTTAAATTAGTATGACTATTGCTCGGTGATCCGTAACGTCAGCGTTTGGCGCGCTGCGGCACGGCAGGCCGGGGGCCGGTGTGACGTCACTATCCCCCTCACCCCTCCTCTTGGCCTCTGTCCATAGCCCGGACACTCGTAGTTAGGATTAAGGTAATCTTGATAGCGAGATTGGCATGGCATATTTAAAAAATCTTGAGCTTAATATTATCTTCGTGTAAAACCATGCAGAATTATTTAACCTAAACAACATTGTTGTCCTTTTCTTTCTCTTTGGAGAAATGGAGATAATAATATAACGAATAAGACCAACATATATCTGTTTGTTCGTCGTGAAGTTAATGCTGTGTTTGTCATGTTGATTGCTGTTAATCTTATTTGCGACGCTCGCTGCATGTAATTTAATACTGCCTTACAATTAAATACAAGAAGAACCATTGTTTTCTAATAAACTAGAGTAAACAATTTAAAGGCTTAACAACATCCTGAGAATCTAACATGAAAGCTCTTATCTTTCATCGTCAGCTCCACACACAGAGGCTCGGAGTCTACCAAGTTAGGGTTGACTAGGTCATAGTCAACAACGCTGGCACACTGCGGGATGGTTGACTTTACCCACTCTTAATACTGATTTAAAAAAGTCTTGATAAATAACGATACAATCGTTTTTATTCATGTTGATTTTAAATGTCACTTATTGCACCAAAGACAAACCGTTCCTCTCAAGAATTTAAATGAAACAATGAGATATTACTTACTTATTATTGATAGCAATCCAATTTCTTTTACGATTCCCATTTAATTGGGATTTTCATCAGTATTTTTGGTATCGCAAACAAAAGAAGGCACTTTCAATCAGCACGTACCCATTACCTTCCTGTTGACGTGCCGTCTTTTGTTTCGTCCGCTTTTGCAAAAATCTCGTCTGAAAAGTTTAGAGCGCGCCTTTTTATTACCTGCCTTTTGACGACACTGTGTTTTGTGTTCATGTTTACACTTTGCTTTTGCATACAAATGTCGTAGTTATTTTTGGTATCAACGTTTTGACATGAAATTGTTGTACATTTAAAATTCTATCCGTATTAATTTATAGATAGAGAGTGAGAGATGTCTATGAAACCGATTTTCTATTATCTTTTTAAATCTTTACATTTCTTTTTGTTGTTTTGGTACTACCGTAAAAACCTTTTGACTCTCTCCTTTTGGGTTAAATATGCATAAACCTTTTAAAGAGTCGGTATACTTTAAACGTAAAGAAGAAAAAGGGAGGGTTATGTTCTGACAACGCGTTTTATAATTAAAGTGCTATTATAAACGTAGTCACTGTTTTGTAGGCGACACGATTTTTTGTATCCATAATTCGTGCATTTTGGCGCGCGTTCCGGAAGATAAAAATCTCGTAATTACAAGAAAGACATTAATGTCTTGGATGCGGTTTGAATTTGGTTAATTTATTAAAATGAGAAAAGAATTTTATTACGCTTTTTGATGTCTAATAGTTATTTTTAATATATAAGTTTAAATTAAAATTATAAATAAAATTTTCAACTCGTTAGGTTAAGGTTAGATCAAGCGAGAGCAAGATATTTTACAGTAAGTATTTGCTTTCTACTACTTAAAAATTATGTTTTTTTATGTATTTTACAAGTCATCTGAAATAAACTGAAAGTATCAAGAATATTTTTCCCATTTGTGTAAAAAAACCTTTAGCTTTTTTATTCGCCGCAGTAAAGATTGCTCACAATGGGAGGGTACGATTTTTTGTATCAAGGTCGTGTAGTTCAAGTATACAATCATTTACATTGTATCCAACTCCATGGGTATAGAAACTTACATGGATATGCCATTGAGGCAAAAATGTATTATTCACATCTGTGTTAAAGTAATACAGATTTTTTTCCTGGTCACTGAATTGATTGAGTCATCGGTGTTGTGAATTTGGTATTTGTATTTTTAACAATATTAGAATAATAATAAACTTATTTAAGTAAGTCTAACCTTTTCGAAATGTATCGCACTGAAAAAATAAAATTTAGGGACACACTATTTTATCTTCACTTTAGATAATACCGTAACATAAATACCAGCAACCTTAAACAATCAGGAAAGTTTTACGATAGTAATAGAGCAGAGAGATAGATATTCTGATTGTAAAAGATGCGTAGAAATTGAGTATAAATTCTTGCTCAAATTGTGTCCAAATAAGCATATTAAAATCACGAAATTATAGTACGTAGTATATAATTTACTTGGCATGTCTGTTATAATTTTCAAAGGACTTCAGATGAGGTTAGGTTGATTTAGTGCCTTTGATTCATAACAAGTGCTCTCTGAATATGGCCGAAATTATGTACGTCATATAAATAAATATCCCTTTATCGTTTTTTTTAATACAGCCAGGAAGACTAAACATTAAGTATAAACCTTGAGCTACGTTAGATATCAATTTACGTGATTTATTTATTCTCCTTTCAATTTAAAATAGCAATAGTGACTAGGTAAATTTCGGGTAAGATCGGATCGACAAGGCGCACTTCGTTAACGAGTTGTTAGTTTGATCTAACGAAGCAATCAAGCGACTGTCGATTCATCTCGTCGAGTTTAAGGTGGCAAGAGAAGCGTGTAACAATATACGTACAATATGTTGAATGTATAAACTGACTTATGTATGTAGACGGGAGTTATTTAATAACGATTCGTGTATTGTGTTACACTTTAACTGCTTTGGATTATTCAAGACGATTCTTTTTATTATTAGGTATTTATTGTATGATTAAAAACAAGGATAAGAGCCTCTGAAAGACGACTGTCTTTTTACTAAACAACAAATATTTAAAATAGACTTGTGTCTGGTAACAAATGTTTGTAAGACAAATTATTATTGCATTTTATCTGAAACATATAAACAAGTGAATGGCAAATAAATAATGCAAATAGCAAATTTGGTGCAAATATTTCAAATAAATATATGCGCCGTTTTGCATGACCGGCGTCGGAAATGCACCAGTTTCCTCTATTCTCGCTCGAGTTTTATGCACCTTCCTGCACTTTGAAACCTTTTATGTTGTTTTAAATAAATTATCTATTAATTTATTTTGAATTTTTGAAAGGCAACGAGGAAAATGTACAATAAAATGCTATAGGGATTTTAGATATCGGATAAGTATATCTTACTTCTTACTATCTTACTAATGTTACTCGTATAAATGTGAATGTTTTGATGGATGGATGGATGTTTGTTAGAAGGAAACTCTATAACGGCATGATAGCTCTCGATGAAATTCGGCATGTAGATAGAGTATACGCAGGAACAACACATAGGCTACTAAGTTTTTTTTTATAATTACGCGCGGACAGAGTCGCGGGCGATAGCTACTTATTAATAAAAATTACTATTAGTAAAAAAATGTAAGGTTGTGTAAATATCGATAATCAGCGTAATAAAGTTGTCAGTTTATAGGCTTAGATTTTTAATGCATAATCTATTTCAGCAAAAGTTTCAAGCATCATCGAGATTTGATCTGATATGTCAGACACTTGTCTAGTTAAGAAGTTCTATGATTCATCTTGATAGCGCTTCATAATTTTCTATATTGAGTATTAATGGACTTAACATTTTGTTACTAGAGTATTAAAAATACTCAAGTAAATTAAGAATCTCTTAAGAGGTTTTACTCGGCTTTGCGATAAGAGCATTAGTTTTAATAGCTATGAAAAAATCAAGTTTGCAGTGTTTTGTTTTTAATGTTAATAAGATTTTACGATTTCACTAGCTTTTGATTTAAATATCATCAAATAAAATTCCTTAAAAATAAAGTGTCTATTTATACAGGTGTTCTTATTTTATTTTTTTCGAAATTAGTCGAAAGCAAAATAAAACATATGAAAATGTAAACAATAAAGTTAATAAACGGCACGAAACAACACAAAGGCTTCATACAAGCAATTTTCAGAGTAACAAATTAAAAACACTTGATATGTGTAATTTACTCTGTCAATATTTTCAGTTTCTCGTTTATAATTTTGAGGTTTTCCTGTATTTTATTGCATTCTGTAGCGTGAATAAATAGGCAGAATTCGTTATAAAAAAGGTTTTTGTTTTTAATTGTTTCTTTTTTTAAACGACTTTAAAAAGAAGGAGGTTATTAATTCGTCTGTATGTTCTTATTCTAAACACAGAGTAAAATGTCATCTCATATATAAAATTATCGTGTCACAATGTCAGTTACCATACTCCTCCGAAAACGTTGACCGATTTTAATGGAACTTTATATTCATATTAAGTAGTTTGAGAATGGGCAATAATATTTTTTAATCCTGTGGGGAAGGAATTGCGGGTTACAGCTCGTGAGATATAAAGTTAACATTTCTTTGCACTTCATGTGCACAAAAAGCATCCATTTGAAATAAACCTGGGATTTACTACAGTATACAGCGACGGCAATACCTGCCCGCCCCGGGCTCCCGACAAGAAATGACTTTCACTTGGTAGCCTCGCTAAGATTGCAACTACTAGCTTATATGGGAACCGCGAGGTGCTAAAAATACTGTTATTCATCTCTTACTTTTTTACTCTTTTAGTAGCCTTATTTTTTACATATGGAAAGCAATTTTGCTTTTTTAATACTAACTCTTTTTTCAATCAATGAAAGCCTTTATTACATGGATATTCTAATTTAATTACATCTAGAAAAAAATTGCAGTAGTAAAGGTCCTAAAAAATCAACGTCGGTAGCTACTGTTTGCGATAAAACGGCTATTGAGTAGAGGGATATTGTGACATCGGGAGACTGAGCTAGTCGGGGCAATATGTGGCGTCGACTGGCACAGGGTAATACCGTATACCCAATACAAGCACCAATACGACCGCTATCTATGTAGACATCAATATCGTTCGACGTTTACAAGTTTCCTGTTTGCAACAAGATTATTTTTTTAAATTGCGTTTTTATTTGGTATTCACAATAGGTCATTGATATTTTTTAGATCGCATTTTAATTTACATAAAATTCCTGTAATGCTTATTATATGTCTCTCAATGTGAATCTTAGATTCATGATCTCCAAGCAATAATTAAAAAAAAAATTTCAGTATAATTAAGTAAGAATAAAATTTCGTAAAAGGTATTGTTTTGTACGCAAAAAGCTGTACTTAGCGTTTATTATAATTTAAATAATTTGTCCTTCACTTTAACCCGGCTAGTTACCAAGTATAAAGTTCCTATTTCAAATTTAAAGCTTTTAATTTTTTTCCCAACGAATAATGTAAAAAGTTTTTACGTCAGCAGTTAATTGGAGCACCAGAAGTGCTCCGATCAACTCTTCCAAAGTTGAAGAGCCTACTGAACATTTTATACACCTTAAACGACCTGGCCACTTTTAATTTAAACGATTAATTTTTGTAAAATAAAAAAACAACTTGTGGAACTACTAAACTGCTAAAATCGCGCTGCCTAGTTTTAATTCGTGTATATTGTATTTCGTGTTAGTCGCCATTCAGTTAGATTGTTTCGTATTATACTTATATTATACTATATAATTTGGAGCGAGACCTTTTAATTATTTTCATTGAAAACGACTGTTGTGAAGAAATACGAATATATTCAAATACAAAGCAACGCTTGCCAAATTTTTATTTTCAAGGTTTACTAATAATTAAGTTAAAAATATGCAGTTTTCTAAATTAATGACTTTAAAAAAGAATGACAAAATCATTACAAAAACCTTCCAAACACTATGAAGTTTCTGTCCAAGAAAAATGTCCGTCATACTCGTTACATTGAAGTTGTAAGAAATTGCAAGTCGTATATCGGCGCAGGTCCCCGGAGGAAGCTATCAATCAATTTATTGCCCGTTTATTGCTTCTATTTCGGGCTTAGGCAAATTACCTCGTGACTATAACGGTAGCTTCGGAAAAACTAATTTTCCATGATGATCCACTCGCTTGAAGACGTGACGTCTGCAAAATTGGATTTCAACACTATTTGTCATATTGAGTTACACTTTTTTTATAAATCATTTATCGTATTTTTTTTCTTTTTGTTACAGATGCCGGCCAAAAGCAATTGATTAAACAACACAATAATGTGAAAATAGGTCTATTATTAAAGCAATAAAAACCATTTAACGTAGAAACCCCGTAGCATAGTGACGCTATAAAAAGTGCTAAAAAGTCTAGTCGTAGTGCATACAAATTCTTCCATACTAAGTCTGTAGAGTAGACGTTGTGATAGTGCAAGATGAATTCTATGACAATTGTCATAAAGTTCATATCAAGTTGTGTGATTCACTTCACGAGGTGTACACCGGTTGGTGATGTGTGTGCCTAGTTAGACTGGGGGGAATAATGATAATACAAAGATGCCGCAACGCGCGTCCTCTTCGTCCAGCTTAATGCGACCCTTCGTGGTGTTGGCGCTGCCCGGGATGTATTTGCTGTATAAATACAACCAGTATCGGCAACAGCAAATGGAGACAGCGCGGCGACGAGTCACCGAGCGGGAGCTGATGCATCTTAACACCAAGATCGTAAGTAATTTCATTATTCAGTTAAAGTTTTTAATATTAAAGACACATCAAGCAACCCAGCAACACTGACACGACCGCTGAAGGCCATTGAGTGTGGCCTATGATGGTACAATGTGGCCACGCCGCAGGCCATTGAGATTTTTTAATATGAGTGACAACCTTAACAGTACTGAGGCAGCCCTATGACGACAATGATGAATTTCATAACATAAACATGACGTTAAACTATGCTTAGAAAATATAACGTAATAATTATAAGAGCAATTTTTACGGCGGCTATTGTAGGTGCGACCTACATGCGATCATCGTGTCTTCCATAATGTTGCAAATTTTTAATTACCAAGATAAAACATATCTAAATAAAATCAAGGTAAAAATTGTATTTGTATCCAAGTTATTGGTAATGTAGAAACACTTCTAATTAATTGGCTTCTCACATAACGAGATTATCATTAGTTGATTTTAGTAAAAAAGAATCTTCGAAAACGATGTTAAAGTGTTTTGTTAATAAAACAAAGTTACAAGTGCCAACACCAATGGTAAAAGTTTCATTTCGAAGCGACGTAATAGTCTCAATAGGTTATGGAATTTAGACCGTGAAAATCAATGGTTCTGCCGTTGATTTTGTGCAATATAATTTGCTTAATATCGTAGCTAAACATTTCATAAAATTGTTCTACTATGCTGTTCCTATTATGTTTATTTTCATTTATTGAACTTATTTTTATATACCATACATTATTAAAGCAAAGCTTATAAAAAATAAACAATAACATATTGCATAAAATGTATTATAAAATATCAAAATTCAACAATTGCGCAATCATTGTCTGAAGCAAATATTATTTAAACTATATTTTAAGGAGGGATGAAAATATGCTCTTATATAGTGTTTTCGCAAACTCGCTGTTAGGTTATCAAAACGTACCAAACCATACCTAAGCTGTTATCGGCAGTTACATAAGCTTGATTCCTAACTTGCGACTCAAAGCATCGCGTGCGCGTCACGCGACTTCCGGTCGTACATTTATGATGGATCACGGTTTACACCTCGTTATGTACTTTTGGTATTGTAATACAATGACATTATTTATTCATTTATCATTGTTTCAGATGAAATTTTTTATTTATAAAATAATTATTGAATATTATTTTCTTATATGTAAAATTCTCGTGTCACAATTTTCGTTCTAATACTCCTCCGAAACGGTTTGACCGATTCTCATAAAATTCTGTGAGCATATTGAGTAGGTCTGAAAATCGGCCAACATCTATTTTTCATCCCCCTAAATGTTAAGGGTAGTCTACCCCAGAATTTTAATTTTTTAGACAAACACGCGGACGGAGTCGCGGGCGATAGCTAGTTAATTATATGTATTTAACTTGTCTTGCATATCCGAGTGCGTAAATCGAATATAACTTAGTCACAACTTTTTCGTACTTAGAACATCGACAGAGAGACAAAAGTCTCCCAGTGACATAAAATAGTATATTTTGAATGCAAAAACTTATATTTGTAGCCATAATAGTGAAAGTAAAAACTTTTGTCGTTTAAAAATAAAAGTTAATGGCTTTATAAATAGAAGTTATCTCGAATGGAGTAGATACGAGTCAACGTTACCGGATTAGAGCGAGCGAGGTCGAGGGCGTCTCATGCTAGCTGTGGAAAATATTTATTGAATATTTCATTATAGAAACATATTTCTTTCTCTTCAGTTTTATCATATAATAATGCCCGTAACTAAAAAATTGTTGAAGATGATTATGAACTTAATAAAACGAAATATGTTCAAACTGGAAATATCCAAACTTATCAAAAACGGTTACACTCAGTACAATTTTGGCAACAGTATCTTAAGGCATAGTGTTAAAATAAAATTAATAAATAATAAGAGCTATAATCTTAGATCTATCATCGTGCTATCTCTTATGGACTATCTCGACTGCATTCTCAATGACCCTAAATGCAAAAACTCTTGTCACTACGTCTATTTCCGTTTCACAACAATCTTGTGGTAAGCCGTCCGTTCAGAATGCACTATTAATACGTCAGTGCCAAGGTGAGCCGTTGCCCGGAGCGCTTTCCCTCTCGACTCAGTCCATTGTTAAAGACCGGACTATAAATACATCAGACTATCGAAACAACTCAATTACCGTTCGAATCGTTCGTTATCGAATCTCGACTATAGCTTTCATTGATCGATTGTAGAGATTAACTCTTGACATTGAATTAGACTAATAGATGTACGATGAAATACTTTATTTGCTATCTCCAGGAGTTTAGGCTTATATCGAAATTGGAAACCCTTAGTTATATTTGTCATTAAATATAAACAATGTGTATCCAATTACTTTGATCGTTTGAATATAAGTCAAACGTCAAACTAAAATATTACAGCTCACTAGCGCCTTTTTGTCACTGTCAATTTTTTCTTCTATTCCCATATATGTTTTACAATTTTACACATTTTCTGACACAACCTACCTCGACAGCAGCGCCTCTCTTACCGGCTCAGATATCATTGTTTGAAGCATTATAAAACAAAGTAATGCTGTCAAACTTTGGCATGTGACTTTAGATTTTTAAACGATCCTGAAAGAATATTTTTTCGTAAATATATCTAAATTTTTGCAATGTTTACATCAAATCTTATATCAAAATCTAAATATCTGTTCGGGAGTCTGATAAATAGACATGATAATTACTTTAGATGTTATGCGAAATTTAAAGACGATAATAGGGATTGCAGAAGAGCTATTGTAGACATACCAGCTAAGAAGGATGAAGTGTGTCCCGGGCCTTGTGAGAGAAGGAAGAAAAAGAAGGGGATACTGCACAAAATAAAATTGAAAATTATTGAAGGAGGCACTAACTTTGGAAGTATGCTCTTAATTTGATTTATGTTGCGATGATAAGATTGAGAGAGGACATGAGTGAAAGGATTGAATTCAGATTTCGGGGCTAAAAAATCAGTGGAAGAGTAGTACAATCGAACCTGGATAAGCAAGAGTGCAAGGATCACGACGTTTTCCACGCTTATAGAGGTTGCGCTCCAACCCGAGTGTTCCACTTATGGAGGTCTTCCCTTTGGTCCGAAAAGTAATTCTCGCTTCCGCTCCAAAAGGACTGGTTGACAATGGTTTAGTCATCAAAATATGGTTATTGTAACGGTAAAAGTTGTTTTTTGCAATGAAAATGAAGTACCTACTGTTAATAAAATATCGCCTAAAGACATTTTACCACTAAGACAGCTTATAAGTCAGTGTTACAAGCGACGATGAAATTCTGTGTAACACCGTGATTGTTCATTTCACTCTAAGGTGTAATAAAGTGCTACGTCTCGACGGAGCTGTAATTTCGAGAGTTATGTATGTTCTGTATTAGTAAATAACGTTTTATACACACAACTGGGAAATAGAAATAAGCGACATCGGCTTCGTATCCGCAAATATTACCCATCAGGACATATTGCATCCTTTAAAGTTGTAACAAACCTTTCGAATCTTTTTTTATTCTCAAAAATTGCATTATAAAATTATTGCACCTTTTTTTTTACAAAGAAGATATTCTTATAGAATTATAATACGAAATAAATTTTTATAAATTCTGGTAGCGCCATTTCGTGAATTGCGTTGTGAAGAAACGCAGAAGGAGGGCAAGAAGAAAGCGGCTGCACAGATTGTGCCGGAGGGTCAGAAGGCGTTGCCCGCCCCCGTGCGCGAGCCCCTCCCGCTGCCCGCACCGCGCCCCGGGGTTCAGGTATCGGTGCTTGGCGCTGAAACCACCGTAGGCCAGTACACATCGCTCCTGCTAAAGCAATGCCCTTGTATTAAAAAGTGAGTCTAAATCTTCATTTGTTGAAAATCAATCCATAAAGGTTTACTTTTTCGCTTGGCACAGGACAGGGATGGGTTCGCTGAGCTGACGGCCAACCTCCAGTAATGGAGAGGCATTAGAAGAAGATGAACGGTTTAAGATAATTCAAAATACGTAAAATATATTTGTTTTCGTATTTTTTTTTGGAAACCAGATGGATGGTTGCGAGTTACTTAACATATGTTTCGATAAATACATTTTAATTTTTCGTCGTATTTCCGTAGTTTATGACGCCGTGTATTACATTTTTGTGCGCGTACAGAAGTATTACAAAAAACATAATATTTATATTTTATATGCCCTCAAGCCAAAATTTAAGAAATAGATACAACATTCAAACGCCCGTGTAATGTATTTTCCCTCAGCGGCCAGCAATAAATTTGGATCTTTGTCGGGAAAACGAACCGTGTTTTGACACCCCTGTCACTGGATAAGACGGAACATCTCTAGAGACGCAGTCGAACGGATTTATGAGCCGAGTCTTGCAATGACGTCACGGCCTCATGACTGCTTCTTACGGAGCAAAAGTAAATCAAACTTTACTGCTACTCTGGAATGCTTTTAAATAAAAAAATAACTTGATCTTAATTGACATATTCGTAAAACGAGGGATAAACGAATAATTATAGTGCAGGCGTGTGTATGATTAATATTCATTGATTCAGGACAAATTAATGAAAAAAATCATAATTTCACCATCCACACATTATAAAGAGTCAACAGACATTTAGCTGAACACCAGGGCAGCCTTCCGGGAAATTTCGTTTACCTTCGACACTTGAATTCATCGCAATGGAGCGTTAATGGAATTTATGATGTGTTTTTGAAAAGCAATTTCAGTTAAACTTGAAATAAAATCTACAAAGTCAATGACTTTTTGATGTCGCAAATAATTTTTTTTTTAAGTTTTTTACGTACGTAAAAAGGTGAAGTTGGAATTTTTCAGCTAATTTTCATTTTCAATAACTTACATATATTCTAACTTAACATTAAATCTTGAAAATGAAAGAGGTAAATTACATTTTCAGGCCGCGTAAAACTGCCATACACGATTCCCCGCACGTGGGACCTCTAAGGTATGAAATAGGCGCGCATCAAACATTTACACAAACCTTGGACGTTT